CTTATTCATATTTATACGTTTAAAGTCGATAGATATTTGTTGAGTCAGTCAGACGACGTAGGCTTGTTCATTTACACTTCATGAAACTGATATTTCAAATGCTTGTCAAAAATGGTTACATTCGTTATGTCTAGATAATTCAGGTTTCATATTACGGCGGTGAACAATATTCACACTTGACTGATTAAACACACACTAGTTTTTATTACGACCAAAAAATTAATTTTAAAATACAGAACTGCAAATAATTTACAAGTGAAAATAATGAACCGTTTCAATGGACTTTTAAAATTAACCGCATTGAAATCTAACGTTTGCTAATTCTCATTAAGAATGAACATTTACAAAATACACGTTCACTCAATATTAAGTGCCTATTTCGGAAAATTTATTACTACTTTCATGTACTGTCAAAGTCAGTTCATTAAATTATGGTCTTCGGTTGCTTAACCTGAATTATACATATTGCAACCAGTAATTTATCATGATTATTTATTGATATGTTGATTTATTTCTCCGAATAACAGACCATGTGCTATAAAAAAACCTATGCACACACTTTCGTGATAGTTTGTTTATTAATTGGGTATTCAACATTAGACTACCGACCTAATTCCCAAAAACTTTCTTTTACTGAGATACATATAATTATTTGTGTTAAGATAACTAACGACTTCAATTCAAGGTATACTTGATCGAAAAGCAAAAATTTATCCCAATACACATTCACTAACAGTAGAATTGCACGGTAATGCAATTCAGTTGGTGTCTTTTTCTTCAAAAGTCTAAGTTTTTTTAAGACTAAGATTACACAAAAAGATTTATTCATTATCATTAAATTTCAAATGTAAAAAATGAAAATCCGGACATCCAATCACAGCTCCAGATATGATTTCAATTTCAGCTAATCAGATCACAAAGATGAACAGTTTACGACCAATTACAAAATGATTAAAGGTGACAAAATGTTTGTTCATTATCACTTGAGCACACACTTGCAAAACAAGTCCACCAATCAACGATACCTAAATTTTTCATTCACACCCCACAATTTTTTTAAAATGGGCAGTAGGGAGTCATATTGGCCGGTTACTTAATGTCAACCTATATTAAGGTTATTTATTAAGGTTATCTATTGTATATTCACAATTGAGATGGTAAATTCCCACATTTATAAGTACATTAGATTTAAAAATATAATGAATTTGGTAAACCATGCATTGTACATTATGAATAACTATAGTTGGATCGATTTTGCTATATCAGTTCAATGATAACAGTCATAATAAACAAGATCAGAAAGGATAGTTGTATCACAGAAACAAAGAACCACTATATACATATATATTCAGTTAAAAAATTCTGACTACATCTTACCTATGAATGTGAATGTTGAATGCACTTCTAGACTGTAACATTATACTTCGAAAATTGAAAAATAAAATGAACTAGTTAGTGCATTTTAACAACATAACTGTCAAAATGTCTATAAGACAGCTATTGGAAACAAATTTAGGTTAAAAGGAATTTTAATGGAAATCTCAATTTGAACATATACAGAAAACGGATACATTCAAATCGGTACATCAGTTTCAGCTCTGCACGTTCATACAGTACGAAAAACTTCCCTGGCTCTGAAGTTAATCTGAAGAGCTAACAAGATCATCACTTTCGATGAAGATGAGCTGCAGGAAGAAATCACATAATAAACATATTGAGACCTGATGATTTCCTCATGAACTTTATCAGAAACATAATAAAACGAAACGATCCATCTTTAAATAACAACTTTAATGAGATATCATAGATTGGTACCATAGTTTTGTCCTATCGTTACGGTGCAACAGAAGAGCTGAAATGCATCTTGAAAATATACAAGGTTAAGACTTCTAAACAGTGACTAGATCTGGTCAAAATGCTTTAGTTTCAACTAAGGAAAAGATCTCATTTACACCCACACAGAATTACGTTTACAGATGAAGTGGTCTCCGTTGTGATGTGTTCTATGTTCGAGAGTCTTCTCGTGAAATCTCAACTCGTGCCAAGGAAGATTTAGGCTACACAGAAAGACCACTTAATAATCTTGTAGAATTGGAAAATTTACAGATAAGATTGGCAGTAGCAGCACATGCTATGTACAATAACTATCAAGCAGAAACTACAAATATCCACATAATTCAGAAAGGATTCTCCGACTCTAAAGAAAAGTGAATAGCTGAGTCTTCTCAAGTAATATTAGATCTCTCTGTCCTTAGAGAAAAGAAGACCTTACTGTTCACACAACTTGAATCGATTATACAGACAATCACATTTAAGTCAGTTCATTTCTCATACAATTAACACAAGCACACACATTCGAATTTCAAATCTGCCTCTTCACGTGATTAAGCACACATTTTGTATACCTACCAGTATACATGCAAATGCACCGAATAATTTCTCACACAAAATCACCTTGACCGAAATGGTATGACATTGGCAGAATCAGACTTATTCTTATTTTTGATTTCGATTGAACCAAATACTCTTCATTGTTCCTTTAGATTACCTGAATTTGTGTTAATTTACTCAGACTATTTGTTTAACCACTCTGATGAAGAGGTGCACACTGAGTCACGAAACATTAGAGTAAACCACTGTTGTAAGAAGGTTTTCAATAGTGTCAATTCTTTTGTTTGGATTTACTGATTTGACAAATGTATCAGTTTCTTTGATCTAATTCCAAAAAAGCTCCTAAAGCAAATTTACGTTTTCAATCAGACGGAATTGTCCAGTTAAAAATATAATAATCTTTCATTGGAATCACTAAAACACCGACACCGAAAACAAAAACAAGCAAATGTCTTCTTGGACATTATAACATATTCATAAGATTTGTGACATCAACATTGGAATTCATTTTTATACACCTAATGACTGCAAAACAGAACAAAAAGTACTTCATGTATTCAACCACTAACAACTAATGAAAATTAGCATGAAAGTTAACCTACATCCAATATCGTATCATTTCATCAATGAGCTAGTCGACAGTGGTCAAATCAGGTTACGAATATGCACAACGGTAAAAAGCAAATCCTTGCAAATAATAACCGAAAGGAGTCAGTCTTTATGGAATGTCTCATTTTGCTTCGTCTACTTCTCTTTAATCATCTACTCTAGCTTCTGATTTGGATAACTCATTATTTCATAATACATCACTAAATCTTCAAAATGCCTAAGTTAAACCAGACACAATTCCGTCTATTGTTGAGAATGTACACTATTGAGAAACTTGAAACTGAAATAAAACAATTATTATAGCGCGATGGTGTATGAGGCGAACGGTAGTGGGTTCGAATCTCAGAGTGAACATCAACTCTTTGATGCAGGCACATCCAGGTGACGAATCCCAAGTAGGACGGGACGCGTATCCTGGATCCCATTGCTAGCCATCATGCATCTCTGCTTATTACACTTGTGATTTAAGTCAATATCGAGGCATGTATGCCAATAAGAAACTGGTCAATTGCAACCAATACAAAAATAAACTATTCAGTACTCCTGGATTTCACTTGTTCGCCTACTATTGATTTCGAATCCACGACTATCTGGTTGAAAGTTAAGTGAATTAATCGTGGTCGGTCAATGCACAGGGCTTTCAGCAACGTGGTTGTTCACACATTGTTGACTTCGTGTACAATGTTAGTTATACTAAAACCCAAATATAGGATACAAACAATCAGCTTCTGTCTGGAAATAACCAGTATACTGTTACGAAAAACATTTTAAAGATCCATAAATAATTGGAGTCCTGGAATCTCAAAGCTGTCGTATAATGAGAGACTGGCTAGAATAAACAAATTCCCCTTGTCATACTTGTGGGATATTAATTAGACAAAACAATTGAGTAATTGTGAGTTGTGCAACATCCATACACAGGACTGCACAGAATTGGTTCACTGACTTTCGGTTTTTTCCAATCTTCTATTCTCTATATCACTTAACAGTTTTCTCATTGATATCAGACCATAATTAGTACCATATTTAAGTAGTCACCATGTATTACCTGAGTAAAAGTTTAATCATTGAATTTTATATCAGATTCACCATTTTTGCTTGTTTTCTTTGGCTTACTGACTTCATTTATTGTCTTTCCAGTGTCATTTTAACCCATCTATCCAAAATTCTCTTATTTTTTCAATGAAAAATATCTTATAATATTATGATAGTGGATTAGTGAAGATTTTGTACACAACCTGAGACTAGGACTTCATCACAAACTGATATCGACTGGGAATCACATCAGACCTGTATTAGGGAATCACTAAATATCTGTTTTGTCCTATTGAATCTGTCTTACACAAGATTATGCATTAGCTTTACTGAACAGTTTCAGACTTACATGTAAGCATCACTAAATATTCACTGGCTACCAGTGATACATTAGATGACATCAGTCTGTAGGAATATGATGCTTGATTATGTTGATGGATATTTCTTGTTAAGAAAAAGCACCTACGCTTTCTTGAATAGTTTTCACCTATTCTTTAACCCTCTCTCTCTCTGTGGAGATGTAGATTAAAATTTCGGGGCGACCAGATATACCATGCTTTAAATTGTAGGACATTAAAAACGAAATCGGTAACAGGGGATTTCCGAAGTGATTACTTAGTTCTTTTGCATTTGTCTTTTTACTAGGTTATCATTCAAAGTTGATTGGGTGGTAAATTTTGACTTACGTAACTACTGGTGATGATAAATCTACTTTGAGTGCTAGTCAAGAAACTTCGACATGAAATTCTAAATGGATTGTGAAAGGAGGACTCTGATTGCCAGATTAATGAAACACACATCTTAATGTATATCTATCTATCTATATTATCAACTACACACCAAGTGTTTTTATTATAGTTACCATCATACAATTGTACAAGTATGTTGAACACAATCTGGACAATAAATATACATCTAAATATGTGTGCTTGGTAATGTATGTATACAATTTATTTTTCCTAATCATTCATTGGTCGATTTGCGAATCAACTACAAAATAAAATTAATCTGAGTGGGTGATACAAACACAAAAATCTTATTCATCATTATAATTATGATAAATCTTATTCATCATTCAATTCATTTACACTTGATGTTTACTATTGTACTTGTTTCATGTGTAGTAACAGTGAAACTTGAACAAATTGCTTGTAATTAATTATCAACGTGCTTTTTTGCGGTCACATGAATATCATTTATGAAACTGACCAGTTGTTGTTAAACACATGAAAACTACATTCGGATTTCATTTGTTTTCTGGATAGATAAATAAATAACTTTTCTAATTACTTCTTAAATTGAACTGATGCATTTATGCAACTCGAATTCATTACACTTGGATATTATTTGGATTAAAGCTGAACTACATATATTTTTGCATTCACTTTACTCATCCACATCATCACAATCAATATTGTTGTCGTCTTCTTTGTCATTGCCAACGTCATCATCATTATGGTTTTTACCCTCAACCATATCTAAAATATTTTTCAAGCTATTTTCCTTACTGAGATCATTAGTACGGTTCAACGATATTCTCGTGACATATTATTTACGATTTTACGTGATATGCATTAAATATCTACTAGGACAATGTTTAACCCGATACAGGACTATTATGACAAATAAGGATGTCATTAATTATCGGTATTTCAAAAACAATCATAGAATCCAGTTGTCATCAAGACGAAGTACTCACTTTCATCAACATCTCTCATGGTATAGAGAGATAAAAACTGTTTCTCATCACCTGAAATCCTCAAAAAATATGAATTATGAAACAGCTATTTCTGACACTGCTCATAATGAATGTATAAATACTGCTGAGTATGATTCCAGTAAACATTTCCGATGTTATTCATATCGAACAATCAGTTCCAAAAGTAGTTTTCATCGATTTGAATTTACCATGCAATATTATGCTATATTTGTGTACCTATTATTCACTTTATTCAATGTACAATGTATCAATGGTAAACCTACTTCATTGTCTAAAAATGGAACTTTTGCCGAAACCACTTCATCGATTTACTCTTCCGACTTGTCATCATTAACAATATCGCCAGATTCATCTTTATCTCCACCCTCACTAGTAATATCGTCTAATCACACAATGGAAGCATCAAGTGTGGATGATTTATTGTTACAGTATTTAGATTTATCAACTTTTCAAACATTAAGTTCTACTCATTCAAGTCGTAAAGTACCAATAACAAATGTGATTATGCGTTCACATAGATCTAGACGTAGCTTATCATTTTATATGTCTAATTTAGATACTTCACCATTGCTTTTAACTCCGTTCGCACAAAATTATTCAATGAAAGCAAGATTTTTAAGCATCGATAACAATGGAACTATTAAACTAGTTAAATCCTATAAAGATACATCTGGTAAGTTATTGCAATGTTATCATAATATTACTGAGTTATTAGTAACGACTTGACCCTTAGTTTGATGTATTAATCAGTCTCTCATTTATCATTGTTAATTATTTAGTGGACAATTTCAAACTGCTTTTTCAATAAACGCTTTTGAAATGATGCGTATTGGACTAAACTATAAGGTTTCGTGTTCAATTTGTGTCAGTCCTCAATGTAACTCAACCATCAAGCGCT